CAAATGAATAAAGGCTGATAGTTTCGAAAGAAACTGTTTGGGGCTGCGTCGGTGGGAGTAACGAAATAATTTGGATATATCAACAAAGTTGAAATGGTAAATTGGCCACCGTAATGATTACAAAAGCTGACGTTTCGAGCGTTAGCCCTTCGTCGGAGCGAATAGAGGAATTGTGGGTTGTGTGTGCTTTTAAAGGCAGAAAATGGAGATACATTATTGGTGGGTTATTTAGCTATATGCACAGCATTGAAAGGAAAAGCATGTGACGATCATAACAGATTTTGATTTAACAGTGCATTTTCCTTATGAGATCGTGTTTCAAAGCTAAGCAATGACAGTGAAGCGAGTAAGGCCAGAAGACCTGTGGAAACAGTAACGGGTATCCGTTGTCTGGGATAATATCTTACCCCATGCACTACCCGCTAAGTGAATCGGCAGGTGAAAGCGACCAGACCACAACGCGTTTTAATATTTAAAATCGACAGAACTTCGCGCAGGTTACATATCAACTCACCAATATCTGTGAAACCGAGCAGAGTGTTTCCTTTGATGGGACCAAACATCTGAAGAAGACGTAACATATAATCTGCTGATTTCTCTGCTGACTTTGTGACTGAGTTAGTACGCGGTGGCCTGTCTTGACTTTGTGTTCCGAGCAATGACCTGTACGTTTCACCAGTATCACTTGCATTACTCTGGAAACAAGAGGCGAAAGTTGCGAATAGCATTACAAGAATACGGGGGGACTTGTTGGTGCCCATGATGCGCTGGAGGACGTGACTGTACAGCGAGTGAATGCGTCTTCTCAATGAGAATGTACTTAGCCAGATAAAAATCGTGATTATATAGACGCTCATTGACTAGCCCGTCAGTTAAAAAACGCATCTTTTTCTTTGCGTTTTACCGATTGTCAGTTTTGTTTTGTCTCGGTCAAGTTTTGTGGGGTATCAGCGGAAGGGTGCTCGTGATAAACTATCCTTTTCGTTAGATAGCATCACGAAAGAATTATCCTATGATGAAATGCAGGCCTGAAGTTAAAAGATAAAAGAGATTACCCTTAACATTGGTCGTCATTAAGAGGAATTCCGAATTATTTTTCTACCATAAATCATAACCTTTTCCTGAAAAAAAGAGAGGAAGAGGGTCAAATACACTTCACAACCTCCCCCGTCCATCTTGTCATCCAGGATTGCATCGTCGGCATTTGCACGAAACAGTAATTCCTTTATCTTTTTTTAAGTGTCTACAGTAACATATTCTCCCCTCGGAGTTTAGAGCACATGGAAAACTAACAAAACTTTTTCGGAAAGCCAATAGGGTTTCCGTTGTACTGCCACTTCGTTATCAACGGTAATTGACGGTTATTCAGACTTGACAGAGTCAACAAATTGAGGCAAAGAGATTTGTAAAGGCTATCAACTTCATATCAAGAATAGGATGAAAACTTTGATTAGGGTGCAATGTTAATATTAAATTTGTCTCCCGTCACAGAATCTTACTTTTAAAAGAAGGTTCGGTTTAGTTAGCTTATTAAATTCTTTGCGTGAGAGATCAATCTAAACAGGCAATTATTTTTATTTTCCCGTAATTCGACCCACACAAGACTGTCAAACCTTTTGCAGACCAACGTAGATCCGTTAGTTCAGCGCTTCACTGGAGTACTTACGACCAAGGGAATATTCTCTTGCTTACGACTGAAGTGAAAATGTCCTCAAAAAGGGGTGTTCAACTCCTCAGTCCATTATATACCAGTTTTAAAAGGAAGGGAACCTCCTTTTGAGCACCTTCAGTAAAAATGTGGTCAGTTTTTCAAAACCCTTCTTACAAAGGAGTGTTCGAGAACCCCCCAGGAGGACTAAAAGGGAAACATCCCCCCCAGAATTCTTGTCTTATATCATCAGAAAGGAAAATGAAAAACTTCCATAGGGGAATGTAGTAATAAAAAAAAAAAAGCTTGAAGCAGTCTGTTAAGAATGTTTCGTGTGATCCATTGCATGATGTATGCTTGGTTCCTCAGTGAGACGATGAACTTTTTTCAAAAATCTCCCGAATTGGAGTAGTTAACGATTTCGTACAGAATTGTTTTATAAGATTTATGCAACATTTTTTAGGCAGGTCAAACCAGTCCTCGTCCGCAGGTGAAATAAGAATTTGCACTTGTTTTGTCAATATTACAAATTCATTACGTGAAAATCACCTCCAATGTCGCGACAAATACAAAATGATGTACTATACAACTATCATTAAAACGAAACGATTCATTTGATTTATTAATAATGATGATAATAATGATACTAATCGTAATAATAATTTATAATAAAAATAAAAACATTTATTTAATTAGATTCTTCCGTCTTTTCACCACGTTAATAATGTGTTTATCAAAATAAAGTTAAAAGCTTTCTTGGCTTTTCTGTGTATCTTTAAAGATTGGAAGGTTGTAATAGGCTAGAATAGGCTGGAATAGGCTAGATTAAGCTTTAAAATTGTTGACGGATTCTTCCAGGCCAAAAGATACCAAATACTTCTCGATCCCATAGATCGTTGCAAGCTTTCGGCGTTTCCCTAGAGGGATTTAAACGAGGGCAATAAAGGGAACCCCCCTATTGGCTGCGTCGTTGTTAGTATATAAATCCCTCGCCGCGAAGAAGAAGGTGGCTTTTTCAGAAGCCCATCGCTAAGGTTAGAACGTGGATTGCGAACAGAGCCCTTGGTATGGCAACTTCAAATGTTGTGGTAAGTTTAGGAACTGAATTCAGCGCGTTTTTGTGATAAAAATTTGACCATTCGATTAAAAGAGCTTTTTTCTAACAGCCAAAAATATATAGTGGTGTAATCGAAGAAGTGATCAAGAATGTACGCGACAGTTTCTTGAATGAAGGGGTCGATGAACAAGTCCTTCAAGAGTTAAAACAGGTAAGAGAACAGTTAATGAGGCAGAGAAAGCAAGAAAAGACAGATCGACGAGTTATCGTCTTTCTATTGATGTTAAACAACGGCCCTAATAGACAGCGTCATGATTCTTCCTTCGCGAGAAACATCCACGAAAGTGCGAAAACCTGTAACGCGCATAAATATTGACGAAGGAAAGATTCATCGAAATTTTGCTCATGCACTACATCCTTACATACGTTAAAAATGCTATTAAAGTCAAGGGGAAAATTTCCATGAAGTTGATATTTTTTGTTCTTTTATTTGCTCGGCGGTTGATTCACTGACTTCGCTGGGCTTTGTCTCACCATAATTTTATGATTGAATTCCTAAAGTGTGAATCGACGAATGCAATTGTGCAGAAAGAAACCTTCATTACTTATCAAACTTCTCGAAAATTTACCATTCCAATCCTTTTTTTATCCGACATTTTTTGGTAGTATGTAAACCGTCATTTTATATCTTGTAGACGCTATTGTTCTTCGTGTAGAACAAGAATTGTTGAGTAGCGGCGATATAGAGATTAGAATGCCCTAGTTCAGAGGCCGAGCAAAATGTGTCACAAGGCACTGGGTCTGAGTGGGTATTTAAACGGGGGAAGGAGTGACAAAGTATCACAAATGTACTTACTGGAACTTGGGAGAGTCCCTTTTATTTTTTTATTGTTGTGTTGTTGTTGTTTCTTTTTCCATATTTTGCAGTATGTCTAGTTAAGCATTCCTGGTTGAAATTGATTTTGAGTTGAGTGAGGAATTAAAAATTTTTTGTAATATAGAAATAATTTTTCCATTGAACCTAAGCTTTTCAGTCAATTATTTGGAAATTTTGATTAATTGAAATACACTCTGGATGTTCTGTAATTTTAATGAAAACCCCAGGATGATGCCAAAATAACATTTAGGGTATTGAAGTTTAACCAATTTGTAGGGGAATATGCCTCAAGATCCCCTTTAAGGCGTGTGCTTTTTGGCATTTGATAGTTTATTGGGCCATAACTGATCACTTTACATCCTTCTACCTCGAAATTGAGTCAAAAACAAGAAATGTGAGATTTTGACCGGCTAGAATTACATGTTGTATGCTTTTTCCAAAAATCAAATGCGATGTGACTCTCCACAAGAAAGGCAAACAAATTGTTTGCCAAGATCTGTTGTGGAACTCATTGGATATGCTTTACTTTCCCCTTAAAAGATCTCTTGTCCAAGATAAGAACTTTTCACTCTGACAAATTTACTCTTTTTGTTGATGAAAGCGAAGTTAATAAGATGATCCAAGATCATCTGATTTCGCACTTTAAGTCAAACAGTAACTCTTTTATATGCTAGTTTAAATCAATTGGACTCATCAGTAGAAGAGTACAGTAGATGTAGATTATTCAAATGAATATCAAAATATGTCATTCCAGTAATGAACTGAAAAAGATACACAACACAACATATAAGCAAATAAAATCATCAATATTTAAATAAGCATTGCCAAATTTGGCTCTGTGCAAGAAACCATTGATGGGACTTCGCTGCAATTTTATTGAACAATGAGAGATTGGATTCCTTTTCAAATACAGCATTTTCAACAATGAGTTTAAGAATAACTTTGATTTCTTTAGATTTGGGAAAGTAAGCTCCTGCAGTCAAGAGCTGTAGACTGGATGCCAGCAGAGGGTCACCAGATTAACAGACCACAGCAATACACTTACCCACATGGACCACCTATCACCCATCAAATTCAGGCACCTAGAGAAGGTATAATCCTCGTAGACTAGGGGTGGGATGGGTGGGATATAGGGCGCACTTAATTTGGAGCCTCGCTCTGTTGTGCGACCCTCACCACACTCTGGTGAAAGTGATTAAATAAATAAATAAGACAGCCAGGGGAAGGGAAGTTTTTCGAGTGCCTGTGACCTTAACTTTTTCCCTTATGAAAAGGGATCAAAATTCCATCAATATGTTATCATATACATTCATTGTAGGACCCTCATGTGGACAAATTCTGGTTACACATATGTGTAGCTCATTTCAGGATGCAGGTCTCTTAAGAACTTATCGATGGACCCACATGTACTTTGCCTAAGAGTTCTCTTTAACACCGTGACATATATAGAACACGACAAAGCTTAATCGGAAGGTGTAGGGTTCAATTCCTCATTTTATTTTTTTGGTCCCACAATCAGGACAATGTGATTAAGGGTTTCACTCCAAGATCTTGTCAAAGATCTCCTTACTGTCTGCTTTACGAACCTTATTTCATTACTAAGCTCAAAATTTATTATCTAATGATCCCATTTGTCATGGAGACAAGGCAAATGTGGGTGTCTTTTGCATGCAGATTCAAGGTTTTTTTTTCTAGTTTTGGTGAAGAGATACACAATGTAAATAAACAGACCTCACTTATGTTGGTTTGTAACTTTTGATTTTCATAGTGAATATTGCTCCTGCAGCTGTACCTGTACCTGAAGCTGCAACTCCCCAGCAAGCAGCTAGTGGACACACAGCCATCTTGTATCCATCCACTCATGCTCATGCGATAAGTCAAATGGTATGAATGGCAGCATTTTTTGACTGTAAAATTGATTTCTTAAGTTTCTTTTTAGTGCAATTTTTCAAAGAATTAGGTTCTTAACTGCTGTAAATGTGACAGTTAAATGCAAACTGTCATCAATTTGGGTACAAATCAGTGTAAATTTTTTTTTTATGTATTTGGTATTGTGTGGCCTCGAACTGCGACATGTACATTTGACAAGTTAACTTTTTCTAAGCTTTCTCCAATCCTCTGCATCAGTAGGAATCACTATGCTGTGGATTAACAAAAGAAAAATTTCTTTGACCAGAGATATTTGTGTGAGGCTACACTGGAATGCTTAAAAGCTTGGAAATTTACAAAATACAATACTTAAGGACCTCAGATCATTGTTCGGAAATGTTAGTGAAGGTTAACATGGAGCAATTCAGCAAATTGATTCCATGTTGCTGGCAATATATGCAGATCACAGATGACATCAAAAAAAGTGGTACACAAGGTGTTGCTGAGTATATGTTACTGATGTTCTCTACTGTGATTTACATGTATTACAGTGCTGTACAGACTCCAAGGAAAATGTATTATCTTTGTTTTATAAACTTTGTGTTAAAGATGCAATTAAAATATTGTTAATGTTTATGTCATGGACACGTAAGTAAGAACCAATGCAAAAACGCGCATAAAATAGATTGACCAGACTTTTGCATGAATGGGGAGAATCTTTTGATGGATTCATTGTCATGTGCCACATTTGACAATTAATTTTTTTTCCATCTATTCTTGTTGTTAAAGAGAGTAGTTTTCCATTTGGATAAATGAAAGAGAGCACCTTTCCTCATGTTTTTGATTTTTGCCTCTTAATAATAATTATGCACAGGTATTGATGCGATATCTGATAAACATGTACATGCTTTGTTATACAGCAAGTGAGTGTAATATAATTTTTTAACATAGACGGCTGCAGCCTCAGCAGCAACAATGGCCATTCCTGAAAACCTGTCCCAAATTCAGCAGGGGAGTACATATGGTGAGCTCATTGAGACCATTATTATTAGAATTTTTTTGATTTTGCTATAATTTTGATGATGAAACAGCAAACTTACAGTACATTCTGTGCACTGTAGTCATAGGGGCTTATGGAAAATCAGAAAAGTCTTGGAATTTTACAGTAACATTGTCCAACCTAGAAAGTCATGGAATTTAAGCGTGGGTTATCAAGAGTCTTGAAAATGAATGAATAGGATACTTTTTAGAAAAAAAAAAATTATTGTCCTCCTTACTTAGTTGTTTTCATCTGATTTTGGACTCAACATCTGCATCAGGTCATGGAAAATGTAAAGGTTCTACAGCTGTAGGAAGGGTTGTTGATAGTCTGGAAGTTTTATAATTTTGAAATAGTTTGCACCTTATAAATGTGTTTAGTTGTAGATCATTTTGTTTTTAGTTATTAATTCATTCACATTTCAAACAGTATATCCCACAGCAAGGACGATACACTCAACACCACAAGTTGGAAACCTTCAGCAGCATGTTATTAACACTGCACAACCTCGCACAATTACTGGAACTCAACAAGTCATTCGTGCACAGCCCCAAACTGCAATTGTCCATGGTGCTCAGACATCTGCAGGCAGAGTCCCACAGCAGGTTATTCAGATGTCTCAGTTACAGACAGGAAATAAACATGTAAGTAGTGAGTAACTGTAGTGAAACTTTCATGTGGCACAACCTTTTCAAGACTCCTCATGTTAAGTGGTTGGGTGGTCTGGTTCCACAGCTAGGGATCCCAAGGAGGATTGCAACAGCATTGCCATACACATGTACATTTGTTCATTTTTCTCAGCTGCTTTGCTTGCTTTCTTTCCCTCCTCCCACTCCTTCAATTTTTTCTTCATTTTATCTTGTGTTGATAGATGCCTTCAAGGGTGGTAGGTCAGTTGTCATAGTGACCTCCTTGTTGCCAAGAAGATTGCTGTTCTCCTCTGTTGCTACCTAATGATACCTACCTTCCAGTACTAGAGATGAACTGTTTTAACTTGTGTCCCTCTACCCCATGAACCCTTTCAACCGCCAGATCAAAACATAAAATTCTCTGTAATTTCCATCGTACATTTCTCATAATTTTTGCTCTGCAAATTTGGTGCTATCAAACTTAATCTGCCCCTCTATCTGCCATGATTGTCCTTGTAAATTAGTAACAAGAATTTGGTGTTACAGTTCTAGACAACAACCTCTACCTGATAAGTTTGAGTATTTTCCATTTGTTGGATAGTGTATTGATATCATAGGGAGAAACTACATCTTAATCACCTCTGGGAATCAGGGGGTTCTGTCAATATTTTTCATTCTTCTCTTCACATTTCTACTTGAAAACGACTTGTATTGATACTGTAAAGACAATTATCCTTTGTGACTCTTTGGATTGGAAAGGTTAGATTTGCTCTTAGCATTACTGTAGCTGTAGGCAAAAGTTATGGGTTACATTACTATTTTGCAGTTTTATACCAAAAATTAGCAAAGATATAACAAAATTATCCTCGAAGAAGATAAGGTACAGTTGAAGCTGAAAATGGGAGGATGTCAATCTCTTTTTAAATCCTTCTTTTTTTTTTTTTTTTTCTTACAATGAATTTATTTGAAAAATTAATTTGACATTTGTTTTTTCAGCCTTCAGGGGTGCCAGTCATTCAAGTTGATGGAGCTAATGATAGTGACAGTGATGATGATGACGATGAGGATGATGATGATGAAGACGAAGACAAAAAGGACAAATCTCAAGAAGGAGGAGAAGAAGGAGCTGAATTAGAAGTTAGTACTGTACAGTTTATTAGAGTTATAGATGTATAGTTTTTCAGTGCAGTCTGCTATAATTCTATTGCTTAGGGCTTAGTCAGTGTCTGTCTGTGTACACACATAGCTGCTGGGCAAGAGTGAGGTGTCAATTTACATACATGTAACTCTGCGTGTAAAATTTTACATGCACTGTGAAAAATTTGCGTGTGATTTTTTACACGCATTTGCGTGTATTTCTTTTACTCGCGCGTAACGTGTAATTAACGTGTAAATTGCGCGCAAAATGGCGGATTTACACGCATGAAACGTACTTGTAACGCTGGTATTCCAGCAGCCTGTGCTGCAGTTATACTGTAAATGTATTAACACTACTAAAACAGGGTTGGCCAGCAGCTGGTCAACTCTTTAATCTCTGAGAGTGACTAGAATCCAATTTCTCCTCACTAAACAGCCATTGAATCAAATAATAAGTTCAGGAGAATGAAAGAAGTTCTTGATTGTGCTATTATCCCATTAGTACTCTAGAATGTGGCTACTGATGTTCTGGTGTGAGGGGTTAATTATTTTATACTTTGATTGGTCTTCACCAAGAGAAATTGTATGGGTGTATTTGGTGTGCGGCAGACTTGTTTATGTAACAGGGTTTCTATTACCTAACATTTTCTACAGCATGCGGACTAGAGGCTTTTGTAGTGGTATACATGTAGTAGGGGATTCTACTGGTATCTGGTTCAGGCTCTACCCAGAGTCACTCTTTCATACTTTGATACAAGACAACCACAGGAAACCGTCGAAAACTTCTATTCACCTAAGACTAAGAACTGGATCAGTTCATTGTCTAGGAAACATGTACATGTACACACAGGCACTCCGTTAGTTTTAGCCTGTGACTAGGCCCTCATTATAGATGCGGTAGGACGCGCGTATTATTCGCCCGCGGGAAGATTGGAGAAGAGTCTGGGAGAGCTTGGCCGGGGTCTGGTACTAGACCCCTTGAAGACCTGTCGCCGGCTCGCGTTTTTCCAGGCCTCCTCTGTCTCGCGGGCGAAGAAATGCTCAAGCAGAAGCACTTATAACGAGGTATGGGAGGTTGCAATTGTGACAATATTGATCAATATTGATAATGTTGTAAGGTGTGACGTAGTAGCGTCGTTCTTGACTTTAAGTTGTGACGTATTAGCTTCGTTCTTGACTTTGTAAGTTGTGACATCATAGGCTCGTTCTTGACTTTGTAAGTTGTGACGCATTAGCCTCGTTCTTTTTATTTCTTTTTTAATTAAACGGACGCTGTTGTTCTTGAACCGCCATTTTGAGGTGCTAAGGTTATGTCTTGTTCTCCAGTTTAATCCACTTGTAATAATTGCCACAACAAGAACCGTAGCGTTGGAATCTCCCACTTTATTTATCACGTAATCCTGCTTCTTTTCTCTGAAGAAAGTTTGATAGTCAAACAAAATGACTTCTATTAGTATTCTGTGTAAATAATTGACATTCTTTATTTGAAATCTTTAAATTGTAGGACGAGGATCCTCTTAATTCAGACGATGACGTGTCAGATGATGACCCTACGGATTTGTTTGACACAGACAACGTTGTCGTGTGTCAGTTTGACAAGGTATGTGAGATGATTGTTCTCAAACAATGCAGTCAGCAATAGTGAAAAGTTTATTTATTATTTATTTTATTTAGTTCAACAACGAGCTTTCTCTTGGATATGAGGTTTAGTGCAGACTCCGTTTATCCCAAGGCAGCGTCCGCTGAGCAAACTGTAATCTAGTAACCTTTACTCTATGGTTCTGATCAGAATCCTTTACGGGAAAGAGGAACCCTCTGAAAACTTGCTTCGCTTCTAACGTGTGGCTTCGTAGTTCAGTTGGTAATAGCCTGTAGTGCAGGCGTTTTATATCATTACGGCGAGTTAACGTTGTAAGCTCGTGATCGTTCATCCGTACGCCATGTTTGATTTGGAGTCAGAGTGGATGTTGGGAGTAGGGGACGGGGGAAGGGCGAGAAGTATTCACTCCCCCACCACAGCCCCTCTCCTTATTTCTGACCGTCACTCACCCCTCTGGTACAAATTTCTTTCTCTCTTCAGCCTTCAGCTTCCATTAATATCAAATAGCGGCCATGTTTTTCTAAAAAAAATACTGAGCTCTCGCTCGCCTAAATTACGCCTGCTCTGTAGGCTAAGTCGATGGTGGCGCCCATTTAGCATCTGGTTGACACGGTTTCGAATTCCGTCGAAGTCTGAATTTTGTTACCAGGCTTCTTTTCTATAATTGCCTAAATCATCACAGTTCATCTGCAAGGAAGATTTCTTTGCTTGACTTTATGATTCCTTGCTTTCAGATTTCACGCGCACGAAACAAGTGGAAGTTCCATCTGAAAGACGGAATTATGAATCTGAAAGGAAAAGACTATGTGTTCCAAAAGGCAAATGGAGAAGCAGAATGGTAGCCTTTATGAAAGGCGTTAGTAATTAATTGTTAAAAGGATCAAAAGTGTAAAACTAGAAGAGAAAAATGTCTAAAGATTCCAACAAAATGAAAACACATCCAGTCATTTCTTTTCCATGGGGCATCTGAAGTGATGGCTTAATAAACATTGTTGCCGGTCTGAACGTTTGTAAGTGAAATATTACACGAACATTATGAATTTGTGTTTTGTTTATAAAGAACCAGTTCATGTACATGTTCATGTACTTAGTCTAAACTACCCCATTGTTACAGAGGACGCTTGCTGCTTAATATCTCTATGTTAAGATTTTCGCGGCAATCGAAAGTGAAAGCTTGCTCTTAAGAGGAGAATCGTCATTTGTGAAAATGGTAATGTCATCATGTAATGAGATCTTTGAGACGGCGAGAAAAATCATTGCCATTGTGAAAGAAAGCATCGAATGTTGGTTTAGTGAGAAAGAAAAACACCTACGTGCAAAAAATAATCTACAAAAGAAAGAGGAGGTTATGGATGGAGACGATTTACTCGGATTGTAGATGACGAACTTTGGAAAACTCAGGCTTGAGCGAGTGAGAAGTAACGGAAAGAGAGAGAGCCTGGGAAGGAGAGTGGGTTGGTAAATCTTAAAAGAATGTAAGATACCAGAGACTAGCTTTAAAGTGCCCCTACACATGGTTTAAAGTTATCGTTGTAAAAAAGATTATATATATGTAGTTTAAAAAAATAAATGATAAATAATAGAAGCCATTGTTTAATTTGGGAAAAGTGACTCGGAGAAATTTAATTCGCCTCCAAAAAGGCGCGTAATTATACTCAAAACATCGTGTTCTCCTGAGCAAGTAAGTTATTTGTGACGTGCTCATGATAATTTTACACGTCGTATCCCTCCACTTAAGAGCTTTCTTCGACTTAATTTAGAATTTAAAAAAAGTTTTGAAGTCCCTCGAGCAGCTTGGGAGATTCGGCTAAGAGAAATCCACCCTAGTTGCGTCAAACTCCAAAAGCGAGTATTGAACTTGTTCGTGTAGGTGGAGGAAATAGCCCTTTTTCCGCCGTCAGGCGGATTTGGGGAACTGCAGGGGCCAGTTTTAGGGGGACTAGGTCTTACCTTCCAATTTACTCCCAAGTAAATTTTGGAAATGAAACTCTCCCGTGAGAGCTGAGAAAAATTTCTTCAGGCTGGTACTTATGCTGACGCTTTCTTTTCCCAGAAAAAGCATGTCCGTAGTGCAATTACAAGAGCATGGATGAGGATTGTTTAATTTCAGGAGATATAGATACCTTATTTCAATAATCGTTAAAATTGGCCGCTACATCTTCCGGTTTGCGACTTGACGAGATCCATGAGTCAAAGAAATCAAACAAACGAGTATCCATGCCTTGGAGATTCTCAAATCCCGCGAAAATTGCCTTTTCCGGAATTCAACGGGAGACTAGGGCGGAACTTAACACGCGAAGCACCCTGGGGCTGATTTTGGAGACGCAGGAATAGCCCGCGAAATTTAATCATGACAGAGTTATCGGTAGAAAAAGATAACATTACGAGCCTGTTACTAAACGAGGATGATATTCCAGGCGCAAAACTAACTACACCTGTTGAGCAATGTACCATTAACGCTCTAAAGCCGTGGTTAAGCTGCCGTGGAAGGAAAGTTGGTGGCAAAAGAGAAGAACTTGTGATAAGGTATTTTAGCTTGATGTCAACACTGTTTGTTTAGTTATCTTTAAACCTCTTGAATGGAAATTTTCGACAGATCATTAGCAGAATATGATTGGGCAATGTACAAAGCCGAGATCAAGTCAATTTCGACAAAATCGTGCTGAGTTTGCCTTTTAAATTCGCTATTGTCCTTTATTTTTCAGGATTAATGACTATATCAAAAATGGACTCGATAAAGACCTTGTTGACCCTGATGGGGGAATAAACATTGCTAAAAAGCGACTAAGTCTTGGCCTTGCTGAGGAAATAGACCCAGAAGTCGATGAAAACTTTCCTACCTTAGGATTTAGTAGTGGGATTCCAGGTGTCCCAATGATTACAAACAGTAATGTCTGGAAATACCCTTATTGATGACGTCGAGTATAAGAAATAGTTAGGTACTGAAAAGCCCGGCCATTGTCAAGTGGTATACCTTTTTTAAATCTGGTCATGTTCCGCAGTTATTTTCAATGGAAGACAATTGCCTTCGCTCGACAAAGAAGGCAACAACAAAATCAGGCGACAGGTTTCTCCCTGACATGGAAAAGACAAACAAAACAACGAACCTGTTCTTGGCAAGGAATCTAGAGACCCAACTCAAGCGTAACACAAAAATAGTTAGATGCCAAGTTCTTTTTATTACAACGCTGTATTTTATTCAGAGAGTTACAGTAAATGTGCCGAAAAGCATTTCAACTTCATTGAAAAATCATTGTCAATCTTCAGTGTGTAAAATTATGCAAGCTATTTACTCTATGAAAAATAGTTTAATAGTAAACATACTTGCTGTAATGAATCGGAAAAAAATTATTTGTCTTGCATTGGATGTACTTATTTAGAGATATTTTCGTACTGCCATAAATCAATTTAATCACAATGAAATAATCACTCAATCGAATTCTTGAACATGCAATTTAAAGTTGACGAACGTCTCTTTGAACGTGATTGATATTTTCACGAATATTATTTAAAACTGATTAAATGAGGAATAAGAAGTTACATTTACTATTCGTAATCTTAAATGTAAAGATAACTTGTAAAGAATTACGAAATTAACATATGGACATTTATCAATAATCANTCATTCGTAATTTCTCCTAGCGAAAAATTTAGTTTATTTGTAGAGAACCAAAGTTCAAGCTGGTACTGCCAATGTGGGTCAGAGATATTGTTTTCTGTAAATGGTAACGACACAACGACATCGACAGATACACATTGTGTAGTGTTGTACCTTTCTAAGTTTCGTGGTATGCAGATTTCTTGTTTCTCACATGATTCTTCTGTACACTCGCCTTTCTTCCTTCGACATTGAGGACCAAAAAACTGGGGTTTGCATTCACAAGTAAATTTACAAATTTCATCAATACAACTTCCCTCGAAGCACTTTTTAGGATTCACGCAGTCATTGATATTCGTTTCACAGTCTTTCCCAGTGAAACCACATGGACAAATGCAGTTGTATCCATTCAGGATTGGGCCACAACTCGCACCATTCTTACACGGGTTTGAAAGACAAAAATTTATAAATGTGCAGTCCGTATCATTATCATATCCGCTGGGACATGTACAGTTGTAGTAATTGACGAAATCGTGGCACGTGCCACCATTTCTGCACGGGTTGGCGTTACACTCGTTTACTTCTGTGCAGGTAGCGTTACACTCGTCTATTTCTTGGCAGTTGAAGCCGTCTCCTGTATAGCCTGCATTGCAAACGCAGGTGTAATTCTGCCAGTCAACGCGGCTGCATGTGGCGTCCACGTGACAAGTAGCCTGGGGACATGGGTCAATTTTGGTCACGTGAATTTGAACCGTCTCGTTAAATGTTTGTGGAGGAATTCCGTTGTCTTCAGCTTCTATCAGAATTTGGTAGCCTCGTATCGTGTAATCATTGTAACTAAGATGCGACTTCACAATCAGATAAGGTAACCCGTCTTCTTGACAACAAGCAGAGGAAGAATTATCCTTGCAAACATCTTCTATTGAAAACGTACTCTGGTAGTTGAGAAGATTATAAACTACTGTTTGCGATTTCTCGGGGTTTCGTGATGTCATCTGCGCAAGGCAGTGACCAATTGAAACATTTTCAGGGACGGTAACGTTAGCGGGAACAAGTTGGATGTTATGAGGTGCTTCATTGACGTCAGTTATGTTGATGGTGACGTGACCGATGGCTTTCAGTGGAGCTCCTGTTCCTTTTGTGGGGCTATCTGTGACTTGAATAGCGACGGTGAGGACAAGATATGGATGAAGATTCTCGTAGTCCAAGTGAGAAGGGTCTTTGACGATCAGGTTGTAACTGTTATTTACCTGCAACAAAACCGCATTTGATATCACTTCGGAGATCTAGTGCAATGGAAGCTCTAGTAAGGGTCACCCTCAGTAGTAGGAAATAAAAAGCGCCGCCCAAATGAATTTGTCTCCTCGGTGAAGGTTATATATACGGAACTCGTAGGAAAATTCATTTCAGTCTGAATGAGGTTAGGGCCCTATGAATGAAGGCATCCCTAAGAAGAGGCATGTCCCAAAAGCAATCTTCTTCTGG